TTCACATTAGCACCATCAAGTATTCTGGGATTCCCATTCTTCTCAGTCAGCCACAGTTTGTTATGATCCACACAGCCAAATGCCTTTGCATAGTCAATGAAACAAAGATAGAAATTCTTCTGGTACTCCTTGCTCTCATCCAAGATGCATCTAACATTAGGAAAATAAAAATCTTCCCTGAGTCAGTAGTCAAAATCATGACTGCTCATGATAGGAAAATGATCAAAGATTTCAGCAATTTCATTTTACTTGGATCCACAATCAACACCCATGGTACCAGCAATCAAGAAATCAAAAGAAGAGTTGCACTGGGCAAATCTTCTGCCAACAATTTCAGTTTAAAGACTAAGATGTGCCTGACTCAAGTCATGGTATTTTCAGTTGCTTTATATGAATGTGAAAGTTCGATAATGAGTAGAAAAAGTGAGCTGTGGTGGGGGTGGAAAGTACTGAGTATTATACAGACTAAAAAAAAAAACCAACCTAAAAAACCCAAAGAAACTCATTTGTCTCAGAAAAAGTACAACCAAGGGTGTTTCTTAGAGGTATGGATGTTGAAGCTTTGTGCTACTTCCTTTAGACACGTTATAAGGAGGAGCCAGTCTTTGGAAAAAGATGTCATTCTGGACGGTCACTGGAAGATCTGCTAAAAAGAGAAAGACTTCTAATGGAATGTATTGACCTAAAAATTTTAACAATAGGCTTGCAGAGGAGGAGATTTTGAGGATAATGCAGGCTATGGCAAGGTTTCAATTTGTTGTTCATAGAGTTGCTATGAGTTGTAGTTGACTTGATGGCACCTAGTAATATACCTGGCACACTAGAAGTTTTGGAAATAAAGTAGTATAAAGTTTTGTACTGTGGATATCTTGATAGATGTAAGCTGTCAGTATGAAAAAGAGTTTTGTCATTATCACTAATTATAGGCCTACTTCTATTAAAAATAATAATTTTTTAAAATTTTATGTTGGTCTGAATACAAAATTTGTATACATTGTTGTTCTTCATGTATATTGTATTTTATATACTCTTTCATTCATATTGTGTTTCATATAATAATTTATATACATTGTTTTATAAAATTAATTATTATTTATCTATGCCTATTATAGATCTATCTATCTATCTATCTATCTATCTATCTATCCTAGTGGCAAGAAGCTGCGTTGCAATCCCAAAAGCACATGGGTTTGAATCCACTAGTTGCTCCGTGGGAGGATAGACAATGTCCTCTCCTGCAATTAACTGCCTCTGAAAACCCACCAGCAGGTCAGTTATGGGTTGGATCCAACTTGACAGTACACACAATATAGTATGTCTATCATTACCATGTCTTTTCAAGTCCCCACTGAATCTTTTCCAATTTTTTTTAACAAAAGGTTACAGAAAAGTTGGATTTTCCTTCATTCATTGTTGCACATTTTCCTCCCTACCCCAACCCAGTTCACTTTTTAAAATACTATTCATCCATTGTTGTATAATTTTCTCCCTTCCTGCCTTCCCACCCTAGTTCACTTAGATATGTACCTCTTACTCTGAACTGTTGTCACCATATATTCCTTTTAAACAGTTCTTTCCTTCATCTGTTCCAATGCAGTGTTCATTATTTTCCCCCTCTTTTCTTAGTTTCTCCCAACCCCCATGTCAGTTCTATTTTGTAACAGTGGTGTTATACAGCATTTGTCCTTTTGTGACTGAGATATTTCACTCAGCATAATGTCCTTGAGGGGTCAACCATGTTCTGTAATACTTTATGAGTCTCTTGTTTTTCAGTCCTGCATTGTATTCCGTTGTGTGAATATACCATAGTTTTCTATTCATTCATTTGTTGATTAGCACTTGGGATACTTTCATCTCTTTGCAATTATGAATAATGCAGCAATATTGTGAATAATACAGCTTGGAGTCAAATATTCTGAAGCTTCATCTGACATACTTTGGGCATGTTGCAAGGAGGGACTGGTCCTGGGAGAGAGACATCATGTTTGCAAGAGTAGAGGGGCAGCAAAGGAGAGGAAGACCTTCAATGAGATGGATCGATTCTGTAACTGAAGCAGTGAGTATGAATGTATTTGAGATGGCTAGGTTGGCACAGGATAGAATGGCGTTTAGAGCTCTTGTACATAGGGTAGCTATGGGTTGCAAGCAACTTGATGGCACATAACAACAACAACAAGTAGTACTGGTTTCTTTAGGGTATATTCCTAGTAGTGGAATTGCTGGATTAAATAGTATTTCTGTTTCCAGCTTTCTGAGAAAACACCATACCACCTTCCATAGTGGTTGCACCATATTACACTTCCACCAGCAGTGAGTAAGGGTTCTAATCACTCAACAATCTCACCAGCATTTTTAATTTACTGCTGCTGCTAAATTTTGCCATTGTAAATGGAGTGAGATGATATCTCATAGTCATTTTGATTTGCATCTCTCTGAGAGCTAGGGATTTGAACATTTCTTCATGTGTTTGTTTGCCATCTGAATGTTATCTTTGGTGAAGTATGTTTCTGTATCCTGTGCCCTTTTTGCAATTGGGTTATTTATCTTTTTCGTGTTGAGATGTTGGCATATTCTATAAATTTTAGATATGAGTTCCTTTCAGATATGTCATTACCAAGTATTTTTTCCCAGTCTGTGGATTTTCTTTTTACCCTGTTGGAGAAGTTTTTTGATATGCGCAGGGATTTGGTTCTTCACCTTCCCCCATCTGCCCACTATCCTCTACTATCCTAGCGATTTCTTCCCTTCTCCACTTTCCACTCCATTCCTCCTTTTCCCTTCCCATTTTGGCATTTATAGACATCTTACTAGTTATCCTTCTTAAAAATAATACCATGTAATGGGGGGTGCGGGGGTGGGCGGGGAGAAAAGTGCAACAATGAATGAATGGAACTCTGAAATCTCTGTAGATGTTCATTAAAATAAAAAAAAATAAAATAAAAAATATTTAAAAAACAAACAAACAAAAATAATACCATGTTTAGGCTATAGTCTTTGCAATTACGTGCTATGCATCGGAGAGTTGGACAGTGAATAGGAATGATAGAAAGAGTATTGATGCCTTTGAGTTGTGGGACTGCTAGGAGAACAAACAGGTTTGTCCTGGAGAAGGTGAAGCCAGAATGCTCCTTGGAGTCAAGGATTCTGAAGCTTCGTCTGACATACTTTGGGCATGTTGCAAGGAGGGACTGGTCCTGGGAGAGGGACATCATGTTTGGGAGAGTAGAGGGGCGGCAAAGGAGAGGAAGACCTTTGATGAGATGGATCGATTCTGTGACTGAAGTGGTGGCAATGAATGCATTTGAGATGGCTAGGTTGGCACAGGATAGAACGGCTTTTAGGGCTCTTGTACATAGGGTAGCTATGAGTCGCAAATGACTTGATGGCACATAACAACAACAACATGAAACATTGCATAAACTGTTATAGAGTCATTTGCTGCCACTCTCTCTGACAATGTCATTCTGTGTGGTTAAAATTTCCAGCATTCCCCTCATGGTATTTCTGCTTCTGAGCTAGAAAAACCAGTGATGACACCTTGAGTTAACACCTCAACTCTCAGAAATGCTGAGAGCTCAAGACTTTCTCAAGGCACAAAGGTTGGCCCTGTAGAATAATAATCCTACCATTTTTATTCTTTCTAACATGGGCCATGTGCTTACCATACTTCTAGAGATGTGTGTTCTGAGCCCTTCAGAGAAAGCATGAAGCTGTCGCAGAATTGCAGAGATGTCTTCACAGACCTGGATCCTGAGATGGGCCCCAGGCTGTGGTGTTTCATGGACTCTTGATGTATTCTTCATCATTTTTCTATCTCCTCCCATAATGTCAACCACCCCCTTTCCTTGCTATCAAGTGCCCACCTCCAGCAACTGCAAGTTGTTTACTGTCTGATAATGACAAACTCAGACAGATAATCAGGCTTACTAGACCGATGCTTAAAATAAGAACAAATTGTGTCTGACTAAGGGTGAAGGAGGGAGGCTTTAGTGGATTATCATATGACCATTTCTATGTCTCCAGGCTTTTGCTTTTTTCTCTTCTGCTTGCTGTCTGCTTCTGCACTTTTTTCCTCAGAGGAGCAGATATTGAATTCTGGATGAATGAGCCATCGTTGTAGCATACGGAAATGAATTTAATAGAAAAATTACATGGTTTTAAAAATCATTACCAGTATTATCGTGTTAGTTGTTATTATCAGGATAAGAACAATGGCAGTAAATTTCCAGCGCCACTCTTACAATTAGACAAGTTTCTGACTTCATACTGCAAGTCAGGGCAAGCCACACTGGAAGGCTGGAGATGCCTCCTCTTTGCACACATTGTCTCAGGCAGCTCATTTTGAGGACAGGAATCATGGCATTAGCAAAGAAATTTCTTCTCTCACAGTGTAGGAAGCAGCTGTTGCTGTTGTCATGTGCTGTTGAGTTGAAGCTGACACATAGCTGACCTTCCACTGGGTTTTCAGAGATCACATGGAAGAAGACTGCCCATCTTCTCCCATGGAGCAGCTGGTAGATTCAAATCCTGTGTCTTCGATTTAGCAGCACAACTCCCAACTCCTTACCACTAAGTCACCTGAACGCCCCAATAATAACAACAACAACAATGATGATGATGATTATAACTGTCACAGTCAGGGCCCTGTGATAAGTCTTCAACTAATCCCAAGGGACCTATGAAGGTGTCATTGCTGTATGTGCTGTTGCATTGACTGCAATTTATAGCAGAAACTCTATGAACAATGGATCAGAATCCTACCCTGTTCTGTGCCATCGTTAAGAAGTAGATATTGGAGGAGCTCTGTGTACTAGTGGCAGGAAGCTGCACTGCAGTCTCAGAGGTACGTGGTTTGAATCCACCAGATGCTCTGCTGGAGTAGGAGGGGCAATCTCCTCCTATACCAGTCAGACCCAATTTGATGGTACACACACACAAAATAATTAAAAAATAATAAGAAGAAGTAGACACTGGTTGCTGCTGCCGCTGCCAAGGTCAACATGGTGACTAGACTTGCAACCTTCTGCAAGAATGCCTGGGCCAAGGACCCGGTGCTGGTCATGGCCTTCACCATCGCTGGCCGTGCTGTAATTCTGCCCCCATTAAGCCCTTACACCAAGTATGCCGCCATGATCAATGAAGTCAACCCCTACAGCTACCCAGTGCCCCTCCAAGATGATGGGAACATGCCTGATGTGCCCAGTCACCCCCAAGGTCCCAGTCTGGAGTGGCTGAAGAAACTGTGAGCACATCCAAGGGTGGGGCCCCCCCTACAGCCCCAATAAAACTTGAAAACCAAACCAAACAAAAAAGTAGACACTGTTATTGTTGTGGAAGAAGAAGCACTTATCAAGACTGCACAGAGCTGCTCCACATTCTGGGCTCATTATGTCTGTAATGATACAGCATATCACACTTGGTAGAGATGATTTCCCAAGGTACACACCATCCAGAAGCCAGAGCATCAATGACTTCTAAATGGGAAGAAGGGCTGAATGGATGAATAAGTGTCTGACAGGAGAAGATGGAGTTTGGGAGGGTAGGATCCTCTGCAGCCCAATTCCAGAGCGTGGGCTGGGCCTGCAGTGCCGGACGTAATGTGCTCTCGGGCTGCTCGGGCCGCTTTCCTTTGTGACAATAGGTTTATTTCTGATTCTCACAGCTTCTCTGTAAAGAAGATAATAATTTTTTATATCTGCAACAGATGCAACTGAAGTGAATGATACTCAGAAAAGCCAAGTAGTGGCCCCACACCATGAAGCAAACTAGTTAAGCCTTATCTCGAGAGGCTGCTCCCAGAGCAGCGTTCCTCCCACTGACCCTGTGGTTGAGGGGCACACTGTCTTTCTGTAGGTCTTTTACACTAAGTTTATCAAGGGCGGCTGCCCTCCCTCAAAGCCCAGGGCGCTGCTGCCTTGAGAAAGTAGGCTAAAGAGAACATGGAGTTCACCAATTCAAAAGAAATTAATAGAGAGGGGAAAAAAGAAGTTATTAGTGTATCTAAGAAAGAGAAGGAGGAGTGGCTGGCCCAGATTTCTCCACAGAAAACACACAGGCATCCTAGGGGAAAGCTATGGATTCACACCAGGAAAGAATGCTATCCAGGCACCAGACTGTCTTCCTGCCTAGAATTTTTTTTGCCTCACTATCTGAATTTCATCAATTAAAGGCTTGATTTTGCTCTTTTAAAAATGTATTTCTCTGGCTCCCCTGAGGAAATGGGAGTCTTGATCACTGGGAAAGATCATACAAAACGTAATGTAGAGCTAAGAGTAGATCTAGGTAGTACTGCTATTGATGAGACACCAAAGGCAAGTTTTTCAACCAGCTTAAACTCCTCTTTCTCAAGCCAATTTAGTTCCCCTTGGTCCCTATGTCTCTGTATGCATGGTCTCTCTACACCCTGTTCTCACCACCTTCAGCCTCTTCTCCTGCTGCCAGTAAATGCCACTTTCTCATGGAGGTCTTTCTGGTCTGTAGGCTTTATACTGTGTAGATTGTGCATTTTCGCAGTACCTCCTCCCCCCCACCCCCGCGAGATACACTTAGCTCAGCTTTGGTTTTGTTTTTTTTTTTTTTAGCTCAGTTTTTAATTGTGCATTTGTTAGGATAATTTGTGCTGGCTTTGGGTGCCATTGAGTCTACTAGGACTCACAGTGACCCAATGAACAACAGAGAGAAAACTTACCCCATCCAGCACCATCCTCATAATCCCCACCAAGTTCAAGACCATTGTCAAGTAATCTCATTGAAGATTTTCATCTCTTTGATGATCCTTTTCTTTTCCAAGCATGATATAGTTTTCCAAGAACCAGCATAAAAACATGTCCAAGGTGTGAGATGAGGTTTCACCATCCTTAACTTTAAAGAATATCCTGGTTTCACTTCCTCCAAGACAGATTTGTTTGTTCTTCTGGCAGTCTATAGGATATTCAGCACTTTTCATCAATATTGCAATTCAGAGGTATTGATTCTTGTTCAGGGTCCAACTTTTACCTGCATACGAAGCCATGGAAAATAACCGAGGTATGGTCAGACACATCTTGGTCTATAAATTGACAGTCTTGATCCTTAGCATTTTAAAGAGGTCCTTGAAGCAGATTTGACCAAAACTACTCTTTTTTGTTTTCTCAATTGCTGATATGATGATATCAATGGATCCAAGCAAAATTAAATCCTTGATAATTTCTCTTTTCTTCAATTATAATACCTGTTCGGGGTTTTTGTTGTTTTTTTTTTTCTTTCTGAAGATATAACAGAAATGTAATGAAAATTGAAAACACAATTCATATTATGTAGCTATTAAAATTATGTTTATAAAAATGCTTGTAGTACCACGTTAAGCAAGAAAAGAACAAAATGCAAAATGATATGTACACTTGATCACAATTCTATTTTAAAAGATATATAGTCAACACTCTTGGTACCAGCAGCCAGGAAATTAAAAGACATATTGCGATGGAAAAATCTGCTGTTAGGGACCTCGCCAAAGTACTGAAGAGCAACGGTGTCACTCTGGAGACTAAGGTGTGTCTGATACAGGCCATGGTCTTTGCAATCACTTGCTATGCATCAGAGAGTTGGACAATGACTAGGGAGGATAGAAGGAGAATTGATGCCTTTCAGCTGTGGTGGTGGAGAAGAGTATTGAATATACCATGGACTGCTAAGAAAATGAACAGGTTCATCCTAGAGAGGGTTAAACCAGGCAGATCCTTGGAGGCAAAGATTCTGAAGCTTCGTCTGATGTACTTTGGACATGTTGCAAGGAGGGACCAGTCCTTGGAGAAGGATGTCATGCTTGGGAGGGTGGAGGGAGAGTGCAGGAGAGGAAGACTCTCTTTGAGGTGGATTGATTCAGTGACTGGGGTAGTGGGAGTAGTGTGTCAGAGACAGTGAGATTGGTGCAGGACAGAGTTGGGTTTAGGGCTGTTGTACATAGGGTCGCTATGAGTCTCAGGTGACTTGACGGCATGTAACAACAACAACAACTTAGTAATATGACTGGAGTAAAATACACAACAATACTGTCAGCAATTGGCTTGCAGTCTTTCCTTTGATAGATACACTCCAAAGATTTTCTAGAATGACTGTGTCTATATGATATATATAATGCCTGTTGATCCAGTTGTGAGGATTTTTTTTCTTCTTGATGTTGAGGTGTAGTTCATATTGAAGGCTATAGTCCTTGATCTTCTTTAGTAAGTGCTTCAAGTCTTCATCACTTTCTCTATGCGAGGTTGTATCATTTGCACGATGTATTTTGTTGATAAGTCTCCTACCAATCCTTATACTACATTCTTCTTCATATTCTAGCTTCTCTACTGATTTGTTCAACATACATACTGAGTAGACATGGAGAAAGGATGTAACCTTGATATGCAGTGTAATATTAAACCAAGTGGTATTGCATTGTTCTGTTCCAATGACTGCTTCTTGGTCTATGTACAGGTGTCACATGAGCACAGATAATGTTATATGTTCTAGAATCCCCACTCTCTTCCATGTTACCTTAATTTTTTATGTTCCACTCAGGAAAACACCTGTGCATAGTCAGTAAAACCTAAATAAACATCTGCCTGATACTCTGTTTTCGGTCAAGATCTATCTGACATCAGCAATGATATGTCCTTCATTCTAAGGCCTCTTCCAAATCCAGCTTGCATTACTGGCAGTTCTCTATCAATGTATTTATTTATTGTTCCAGTAATTTTTAAAAATTTATTATTAATTTCAGTAAAAATTTACAGAGGCTTTGGATTTCCATTCATTCATTGTTGCACTTTTCTCCCCTTCTAACTCTCCTCCCTAGTACACTACCCTCTTGTAAAAGTAAAACAAAAAAGTTCTTTCATTGTTTTATAAACCCTTCCCCAGGTCCACTCCACCATGTAGCCTTTGCTCTAGACACCTGTCATGACAAGAATACCTAATCACATTTCCCTTTTATGCAGTTTTCTCCTTCATCTGTTTCAATGCAGTATGCATAATTTATCCCATCTTTCTCATTTTCCCCTCAACCCCGATGTCAGTCCTGTTTTACAACAGTGGCACCATGCAGTATTTGTCCTTTTGCAACTGAGATATTTCACTCATCATAATG